GTCATGGAGGGAAGATGCCAAGGGAATGTGGTGCTGGGATGAGGCTCCTCAGAGCTCCCACACAGCCCCCAGGCTCTGCTGCAGCCACAGGGGGATCAGGACAGAGCTTCAGGATGGACACCAGCAGGAATTTCCCCGTGGAAAGGGTGCTCAGGGATTGGGGGGGGCGGCCCAGGGAGCTCTGGAGTACCCATCACTGGAGGATACACACAGAGCTCTGGGCTGGGGACAGGGTGGGGATGGGGCACAGGTTGGGTTTGATAATCCCAGAGCACTTTTCCAGCCTCAGGGACTCTGGGATTGGGAGTGCTTCTGGCTCATTGACCAGGCAGGCATGAGCTGTTGTGTTGCACAAGCCCAGAAGGGTGGATTTGATGTTTGATTTAAGGTTGCCTGGATTGTTTCAGTCATTGAATTCCTGATTGTTCATAGCTTGACTTTAGAAATCTCCTGGTGCTTCTTAAATATCCCCAGTGTTTATGGAACAGCATCAGTGTTAAACAGGCACTGCATGGAAAAAGGGAAAGGCAGGAAGAAAAAGCTGGTCCTTCAGAGCAGCTAAGCATTGTCTGAAACCTGGAATCCCAGACTGGTCTGGGTTGGGAGGGACCTCAAAGCCCATCCAGTGCCACCCCTGCCATGGCAGGGACACCTCCCACTGTCCCAGGCTGCTCCAAGCCCTGTCCAGCCTGGCCCTGGGCACTGCCATGGATCCAGGGGCAGCCCCAGCTGCTCTGGGCACCCTGTGCCAGGGCCTCAGGCTGGATCTGGGCTTCCAGAGGCTCCCTCAGAACCTCCCCCTCCAAAGAGAGCCCCTGTGTGCAGGAGGTGGTCTGAGATCCCCAGGTGCAGGCTTTTAGTTCCCAGTGTGGAGCCTGAGATGCAATTCCCATTGCCCCTTGTGCCCCAAGTGCAGCCAGCAGCAGAGGAGTGTCCATCCCTCCCTGGAACGGGATGTGCCTCAAGGCAGAGCTCAGAGGTGAACTAAATCCAGTTTTAAGAACACTGGCTTAAAAATGTCACGGCCACTGGCCCAGGTGCTGCTCCAGCAGGGGCTGGGGTGGGTCTGGCAGGGGCTGGGGTGGGTCTGGCAGGGGTTAAGGTGGGTCTGGCAGGGGTTAACATGGGTCTGGCAGGGGTTAACATGGGTCTGGCAGGGTTCCTTCCAGCTCCTGCTGTCCCTTCTCAGCAGTTCAGGTGTCGGGTGACATCAGGGCCGAGCAGGGACAAGGTCTGCATTGTGTGCTCGAAATGCTGGTGCACCGAAATTCGAGTCTGGGCCCTCGGGGGCAGTGCCGGGTCTGGACCTGCCTGCTGGGCCAGGTAACCTGTGCCAAAGGCAAGGAAAAGCCTTCTCCCCCTGCTCTCCTTCCCGTGGGTGTCCAAAAGCTGGGCTCCACCTGCTGAGTGCCACATCCCATTGGTGCTGGGACCCTGGCTAGTGAGGATTTCAGACTCTCGGTGCTGCCAGGCACTGACCCCCAAGAGAACACTGCATTGGCCTGAGGCCATGGAGAAAGAAGGCTTCCAAAATGGAATGATCAATCGGAGATTATAAGTATATAGTTTGAATAAAAGTGTGTTATATCACATAGTAGAAAACTTGGAGTTTAAAGTTTTAGAATATAATAATATATATATAACACAATAGAAGTTTTAGAGCAGTAGCTAGTCCTTCACCTTCTTCTTCATGAGTTTTAGTATTGTGTAATTAGATAAAAAGTTGATAGATAAAGTAACCACAAGTTTTTAGTTATTAAGTTAAAAATAAAAATAATTTGTCATTTCTTAATTAGTTTATCCTTATAAAAGCCTTATGAAAAGAAAAACACAACTCAATTTTTTAGTTTGTTAGTAAAGTACTATAAAACTCATAAATATAGTATATATAGTATATAAATATAGTATATACATGTAATATAAATAAAAACTAATAAACATCTAAGTCCAAACAAAAATATCATCTCACACATTTAATCCCTATCTTAAAAAAAAAAAATTAAAAAATCCACAAATCCCTACCTTGCAGGAGATGGGGACCTGGCCTGGAGGCCAAAACTCTCAGCAAGCTTGAGGAGGCTCGGAGGAAGGAGGTTCAAACCTCTTGCAAGCTTTAAATGCATTTTAATTTGAGGCTTGTGAAGGTCAGCCCAGGCATCAATTATCCTCAGACAGGAGGTTTTTCCGCGTGACTGCCCTGGGTGCTGTTTGCAGCCCGCGGGTCAGCGGCCAGGCCCTCCATTAGTGCCCAGTGCTGGGGAAATGAGCCCTGTGCTGGTGGGCAGGGGCAGCACGGGAGAGATCCTTGGAGAGCTCCAGCACGGGCTCAGCTGGTGGGAGCAGAGCCTGGAGCCCTGCTGGGTCACCTCGGGTGGGACTGGGTCACCACGGAGCCGGGACCACCGTGGGCAGGACGGGGTCACTTCAGAGCTGGCACCAGCAGTGATGCCCCGTGGGTTTGGGCTGAGGGAAATTACCCTGGTGAGGGCACGGACTGGCGTCTGTGGATGCCCTTTGTGCCAGGAACCCAGAGTTTCACTCCTTGTCCGGGAGTCCCAGAGCCATGGAGGCTGGAAGGGACCTTCAAGGTCCTGCAGTGCCACCGAGGCCTTGCACGGACAGGGAAGGCAGCACAGGGACCTGGGGGTTCCTGTCCCAAAAGGAGCTAAGACAGGGATCAGCATGGGAAAGTGAGGGTGGGGCTTGGGGCAACCCATCCCAGGGCCAGGAATCGAAACACGAGGAGCAGAGTGCTGGAAGCTGGGCCTGAGGCTGGCCTGGCTGCAGGGACACTTCAGGGCTCTCAGGGTGCTCCCAGGAAAGCTGGATTTATGGGATCAAAGCAGCTCCATTCACTCTTCCCCGGGCATTCCTTCAGCCCTCAGAGCTGGGTCCAACTCCGATCCAGCTCATCCCCAAAGCACAAGGACAGCAAGGTGTTGTTAGGCACAAAGGAGCCATTACCCCAGGTGCCCTACAAACTACAGGCTGAACACTTGTTTTTAACATTTAAAAGCCGAGCCGTCACAAAGGAGGGTGGCTAGCAGGGAAGAGGAGCTGCCATCAGCTTTGAAAGAACAGCAAGTGTTTCATCTCCTGCAGGGTAATTAGAGCTGTTCAAGTGCTTTCCGTGGAAAGCAGATCCTTGCCAATTAAGGACTGGGCTGCTGATTTCAGGCACTTGAAGAATTTATTAGGGAAGACTTGCTGTGGTTGTGCCTGCACTCCTGACGGACAGGATGGCTGGACAGGGACAGGTCACCCCCCGGGGCCTTGGGCACAGCCAGGGATGGATGCTCCCTGGTTCATCCACGGGCTGTGATCCATGGGGAACGCTCCCTGCCGGGCATGAGAGAGGAGTTTGTGCTGCTGGAGCTGCTTGAAAACCCTAGGGCACGGAAAGAGCCAGGGCAGGGCAGGGACCCCAGGGAGTGTGCAGAGGGACAGCTGGGCTGGGCTCTGCCCCAGAGCCCCTGAACATTGACATCCAAACAAGGTTCCAGCTCCCTTTTCCTTATTGAATAGCCTGGAATTGCTTTCCTCATTAAGTAGCTTGGAATGGCTTTCCTTATGGGATGGGGAGCTTCAGAGTGTCTCAGTGGGACACTGCAGCCAGGCTTGATCCCAAAACAGGGGATCTCTGGCTCTCAGCAAAGCTGCCTGTGAGCCCCAGGGCTTCCCAGAGGTGGGAATGACCTGTGTGTGTTGTCTTGGTGGTGTTCCATGCCTTTGGAAATAGGGATTCTGTGTTACTTAGCATGGGGTTAAGCAGCAGCTCTGTTTGGAGTGTGCAGTCTGAGGACACATTTTATTGGGATTTTGCTCCTGTGCAGATAGGACATTTATCTCTTGGACTGGGTGCCTCATGTTGGATGCTTTGTCAGCGGGAATGAACCATTTTTATGGATCTCCTGCTGCCTGGACATCCCAGTGCTCCATCCCAGAGGCTGGTATCCAAAGCTGAGCACCAGTTGCTCAGGGACATGAGCTGGACCATAAATCACAGGTTATTCCAAATACCAGAAAGAATACTGGAATATCAGCTGCCTGTTGCATATTTGGATTGCACGGGGGTTGGTGTAATGCTTGGGAATGTTTGCAGAGGGAGAGGAGCCTTGGGGAATTGTTCATGATCCTGATGGGAAGAGCAGGGGATGAGCAGTGGGCAGATCCCTGGCTGAGACAAGCCAGGGGAGGAGGCTTTGCCAAGCCCAATGCCATGAGATCAGCACCCAGGAATACTGCAGGGACAGGCCCACCAGCAGGGAATAACAACCTCCTTTTAGATTCTCTCAAAGAGGGTTGGGCCTTCTTAGTTCTGACTGGCAGAGTCATTCCAGAATCCAGGAGAGAGTTTTGGCAAGGGAAGACTGGGGGTGGTAAAAGTTGGAAGGTGTCCCTGCCAAGGAAGGGTTTGGAACTGGAGGAGATTTAAGGTCCCATCCAACCCAAACCATTCTGGGATTCAATGCAGGATTTTCTCCTCCAAAACCAAAAGCTCATCCTGCAGCTTCCATGGAAAAACTAGGAGTGCAAACAGAACGGAACCATTTCTGACAAACACAGCCAGGTGCTGAATTAACCTTGGTCCTTCTCATCCACTCTGACACAAATCCCAAGGGTACTCCAGGGTCCTGGGGGTTCTGTGGACTCCAGAAGGACTGACCCAGCTGAGTGCCTCTGGGCACTTTTGCAAGGTCTCCTCCACCACTTTCCTCCCAGATCTGGAAAAACACCTCTGGCATGGCTGGATTTGATTTTCCCTGTCCTTGATGCTGCAGGTTCATGGATGGGGAGGAATCCCAGCTCTGGTGCAAGGCCAGAGCCTCCCCGTCCTCTGGCTGTGCCACCACTGCTGTGGCTCTGTGGCTGTGCTCTCCTCTCCCCATGCCTGTCAGGTTTTTATACCCCAGCTGATATTTTGCTTATCCCCTTTTCCACTTCTTGCAGGGGCTTGTTGGCTGTGAGCAGTGGCAGGAGGGGAAGGTGCTGCTGAGACCATGATGTCCCTGGGTGTCACTAAAGGTAATTTCTTCCTCTCCCAGTTTTCCTCTGTCTCCCCTGCCCAGCTGGAGCTGCTGGAATGTCCCTGCTGGGACAGGCCACAGGGAGGTGTTTCAGTGAGGTGTGAAGCCCTGTACAAACCTCTGTGATCCAGCGGGATGCCGATCCCGAGGTCTGCATGGCCACGTCTCCATCTTCCATCAGAGCTGGGAAAGTCTCACCCAGCGCTGGAAGCTCTGACAGAGAGGAGTGGCTCGGTGCTGGGATGGACCCCATCTGCCCCGGGTCCTGTGAGTGCTTCCCTCCCTCTCCCTGCTCTCCCAGGAGGGCTGATCCCGCCCACGGACGAGGATCGCCGCAGGATCATCCGGCAGATGAAGGTTCGCACCACCCTGCGAGGGGACAAGAGCTGGATCCAGCACCACAACTCCGACTCAGACGAAGAGAAGAGCAGCCCCCTGTAAGAACATCTCCTTCTCCTTCCCTTTCCCTGTCAGAATTCCCTGAGCTGGATCACTGATCCAACCCCCGGCCCTGCAGACACCCCAGCGATCCCACCCTGTGCCCGAGGGCAGTGTCCAAACACTCCTGGAGCTCTGGGCTCTCCATGCACCCCGGTCTCCAGCTGCACAAGATGTGCTGTGACAGGTTTTGGGGCGCCCGTGGTGCCAGGCAGTGACAGTGCCAAAGGAATTGCTGCTCCTGTTTGTTTCTGATAAATGCAGGCTGGGCAGAAGCTCGGACAAATGTCTTGTGCTGGAGCTGGAATTCAGCAGCCCAGACAGATTGGGAGGCTCAGGAGAGCTCCAAAGCTTTGTGAAGCCAGATTGTGCTTCAGCATCTCGGAGTGACAAACTCAGGGCAGGCCTGGAGGGAGTTTAGGATGGAAGAGGCAGGAGATCAAACAGTTCCCTGGGTGTCACACAGTGCCCTGTGCCAGGGAACACCAGTCTGCTCCAGCTCCTCTTTACTTGAGAACAGACTCAATTCCAAATCCCTCTTCTCTTCCCCTCTCTCCAAACCCATGTTCAGCAACCAGTTAACCACATCCTTGTGTTTGCTGTTCCCTCAGGTCTGGACAGGCTGGTGGGAGACCCCCAGCCCCCAAACCCACTGCTCCCCAGCAGGACAGGTAATTCCAGGGGCCCATCCCACTTCTTCCCTGCTCTGCTGTCTGCTGGGGTCGGTGCAAGCCCTCACCTCACTGTGTGCCCCCCTCACCTCCTGCTGCCAGCACAGCTCTGGGCACAGCCCTGCTCACAGGGATGTCTCACCCTGGAGAGAGCAGGGACTGGCTCCTGAGAGGTCCAGCAGGATGCAGGGATGACTAATTCAGAGGGAGGGAGCCTTTGAGCCACTGATGCCACAAGGCTGGGCTGGAACATCAGCTGCTGTGCTGGTGCAACCCCTTGGTGCTCCAGGCAGGGGCTCCTCAGGGCAGGGGGAGCTCTGGGTAGGGCTGAGGTTGGTGCAGAGCTCGAGGGGTCTCCAGGAGCTCAGGAGCTTGGAGGAATATCCTGAAACACCAAACTCTTGGGAAGGGCCTGGCCCTGTGTGAGAGCTCTGTCCTCTCCCCTGGGCACTTCCCTGCTTCCCTTTCCCTGTGGCAGCTCTCCCCACTCCTGGTGGTCGCCAGGGGAGCCATGCTGTGCTGCCTCCTGGGAATGCACCTGAAGGAGTTGGAGTGCAGCTGTTGCTCTCCAGTGATAAAATAATCAGGATCTGCATCATGTGTGATTTCCCCCTCCTGTGCCACCAACCTGGGTCAGAGAACACTGCCACCATGGCTAATATTAATTGGCTCACTTTAAAATTCACTTTCCCTATATAAAAAAAAAACCTTTATAGAGCTTGTTCTGATGATTATTCGTTTGAAAACATCCCTCCAGAGTCAATCCAGCTGTGGGATCCCTCCAGGCCTGCTTAGCTGGATTTTGCTTTGACATCCATGTGGACATTCCCTTTCAATCCTGGTGCTGCTGTTTTCCCTATGTTTTTTACTCCCTGATGTCTGTTCTTTGCACAGGTCCTCTGCATCCAAGCCTCAGCCTGGATACCTCATCAGGTGGGTATGGAATGGGAGAGATCTGGACTGCAGGGGGAGAACTGAATCAGGAGCAGAAAATGTTCCCTCCTGGGTTCCATCAGCTGGGGACATCCCAGTGCTCAGGGTCAGGAGCCAGCCTTGTTGTTTCACCACTGGTTTGAACTTGGCTCCAAACATTTTCCAGCCAAAAGTTTAAGATGTCCCTTCCCTCCCCAGGGGTGTGTTCACCAGGACCATCGACAAAAGCTCGTCCGTGCCGGATCCTTCACCTTCCAGCCAAGCACAGAAAAAGTACGAGGGTGTTCCCCTGTCCCCTCCTGAAAAGAAGGCAAATGCTGCCTTTCAATTGAGCAGCATTCCCTGCAATCAGAGTGGGGATATTGGGGGCTATGTTGTTGTCCCCCTCCCTGTGGAGCTGCCCCGGGGAAGGAGGTGGGGAGGGCTGGGAAGGTCACATTCCCAGGCATGGTTTGTGTTCCCCCAGCACTTCCCTGAAGGGACAGAGCCGCTCCCCCTCCGGATACAGGATGACCACAGAGGACTACAAGAAACTGTGAGTGGGCAAAGGGAGCAGCTCCTCCTGTCTCTGCTCAGTGTGAGCCCTGGGAATGCCCCTGGAGCTGCCAGAGCTTCCACTGAAAACTCCAGTGGTTCCCAGGGCCACCTCCCAGGGCCAGGAGATGCTCCTTGAACTGACACTGGCCTTTGTATGGAGGGGATTTCATCACCAGGCAGGAATAGAGGATGCAGCCTGGGAACTGGGTTTGGAGCTTTCCTGAAGCCTGGAGAAAGGCAGGACAGCACTGTGGGCATTTCCTGCACAGCTTTTTTGTGTCCCAGAGCATGGCTCTGATCTGAAATGGGGATGGGGCCTCTGGACTAAGGAAAAAAGTCCTTCAGGGACATGTGCACCCCTATGGAAAACACAGGTGTCTTCCAGGGTCTGAACCAATCCCTTGGATTCATTTCTGTTTGGCTCTTGCTGCCTCTGCCCCAGCCACAGCAGCAATTCCCTGACCCTGGCTCTCCCTTCCCTCCCTCCCCAGAGCTCCGTACAACGTCCGGCAGAAATCCGTGGATGGGGAGGAGGAGGATGTGCCTTTTTCTCCAGATGAGCATAAGAAGAGGTGAGACCTGGAGGTTCCTCCGTGCTCCTGCAGGGACAGTGACAAGTTCTGTTCCATCCTGGGGGGTTGGTGCACCCAGGCACGGCTCAGCCTGGGTGCAGTCCAAGGATAATCACAGCTCTCCCTGCTCCGAGCCCCGTCTGCCCACGGGCCACCGCGCTCCCAACAAAACGGAATTAAATTGCTGACGTGATGCAGCCTGACAGCACGGCCCAGTTACCCAGGCAGCTGGGAAGGACTGTGGGATCCGTGGGCTGCGTGGTGTCCGTGGGGAACATGGAGATGCACAAACAGGCAGGAGGGAGGAGCCCAGCTCCCCCCACCGCGGGTGCGCCCCAGAGCTGGGATCGCTCCAGGACTGGCACCCGTGGCCAGCTCCAGGCTGGACCGTCCTTCTCCTACCAGGAATAAGATGAGAGAATCATCCCGGGGTGATTTGGGTGGAAGAGACCTCAAAGCCCATCCAGTGACACCCCTGCCATGGGCAGGGACACTTTCCACTGTCCCAGGCTGCTCCAAGCCCCAGTGTCCAACCTGGCCTTGGACACTTCCAGGGATGGGGTACAGGACAGGAACAGGAACAGGTCTGGTCTCTCTGGCTTCAACCTTGTTGCCTTTGATGGAGTTTCTGAGGCCCCTTTTCCTCAGACACAAGTCTTGTACAAAGGAAAACTTGGTCATTGTCCCCCGAGGTCCAACCACTAAAGAGCTGGAGACGGACTTTGGATAAGGGATGGAGGGACAGGACACAGGGAATTTCTGACTTCTCACTGCCAGAAGGCAGGGATAGATGGGATATGGGGATGAAATTGTTCCCTGGGAGGGTGGGCAGGCCCTGGCACAGGGTGCCCAGAGCAGCTGTGGCTGCCCCTGGATCCCTGGAAGTGATCCCTTCTCCTTTGGGACACGTGGTAGTACCCAGGTCAGTGCAGACACTTCGTGGAGTGTCAGCCACAGAACCCATGTCCCATTTTTCTGTCCATGGAATCCAATATTGCAACAGTCCAGGTCTGCAATGGATAGTCCAGGCTTGGCATAGCTGCCCAGGGCAGTGGGGGAGGAGTCCCCATCCCTGGAAGCGTTCAAAAAGCCTGTGGCTGTGGCACTTGAGGACATGGGTTATGGCGACCATGGTGGTGCTGCTGGCTGATGCTTGGACTGGATGATTTTAAAGGCCTGTTCCAACCTTAACCATTCCACAATTCCATGAAATCTGCTCCTCAGAGCGCAGGAGCTCATTGAGGGTTAGCCCAGCCTGCAGTGGGTTGTTCCCTGCCCGTCCAAGGCTCCAGCCAGCCGGGAGCACCAGGATGAGCAGGCTGTGAGCCCCTCCCTCGCTCTCTCCCCTCTCCAGGACGGAGGCTGCCAACAGCGTCCTGCGGCGCTCGGCCGGCCGCGAGCGCGCCTACGTCCTGTCTGCAGCCAAGAAGAGCAACGGGTGAGTGCCAGAGGCTGGGAGTGGGACAGGAGCCAGGGAAGGGCAGCTGGAGCTGAAGGGAGTCTCCAACACAGCAGCCAAGGCCAGGCTACCAGGGGTCCAAGGGCTGGAGCTCCTTCCCTACAAGGAAAGAGCTGGGAATGTTTGTCTGGAGAAAGGAAGGCTGCAATGAGAGCTCAGAGCCGTTTCCAGGGCCTGAAGGGGCTCCAGGAGAGCTGGAGAGGGACTGGGGACAAGGCATGGAGGGACAGGACACAGGGAGGGGCTTCCCCATCCCAGAGAGAAGGGATGGATGGGATATTGGGAATTAGGAATTGTTCCCTGGCTGGGTGGGCAGGCCCTGGCACAGGGTCCCCAGAGCAGCTGTGGCTGCCCCTGGATCCTTGGCAGTGCCGAAGGCCAGGCTGGACATTGGGGCTGGGAGCAGTCTGGGACAGGGGAAAGTGTCCCTGCCATGGCAGGGGGTGGGGCTGGAAAATCTTGAAGGTTCTTCCAGTCCAAACCTTTCCATGGTATCTGCAGGATTCCATGGTATCTGCAGGATTCTGCAGAACTGGGAAATCCTCCAAGTATTCGTTATTGAGAGGGATGAAACTTCCAGAAAAGAAAATCCATGGGAGACCCTAATTCCCTAAAGCAATCAAGAGTTCCATGTTCAGCCTCAGCCCTTCAGCTGCTCTCTGCAGTTTTGTTGTATTGTGTCATTGGTGTGTCACCCCTGCTTGGGGCCAGCTCTGCCCAGAGGGGTGACAGGACCTTGCACACCTGGCGCAGGGTCTGGGGGGGCTCTGCCCCTGCTCAGAGACTGTCTTTCCCTCCAATCCTTTAATTGCTCCTTAATCCTTCCTCCACAGCAGCCCAACACAGGAATTCCCACCCCTGTTTGCCAAGAGGTAGGTGCTGGACCTCGGGGAGCTGGGGCTGTGTGCATGTACCAAGCTGGGATAGCAGATCCCAGGAGTTTCACAGCAGAGGAAGAACAATTCCTTGAAAAAGGATTCTGGGGGTTGGACCCTGCTGGTTTGTTGGGAGAAACTGTTGTAAAAACTGGGAATGCATGGTGCTTTGGGTTATGGACAGCCTGAAACTGGGGAGACTCAGCCACAGCCTTCGTGTTTCCTGGGAAGCTGCTCCAGCCAGCCAGGAGAATGCTCCTCAGGCATCTCCCTCCTAGAGCTGTCTGTGGGACAGGGAAACATGCCCAGGGCTCCCTCTGGAACCCAAGAACTCAGCTGATGCTGTGTGGAAAAATCCCACTGACTTGGCTGCATTCTGCCCTTTGGGATGCTCAGCAGGAGCACAGGGAGCAGCAGGAATAACCTGCTCAGGAAACAGGGAAATCATGGCTGGGTGAACCCAGGGATAAGCTCCCTGGAAAGCTACAGAAAAGAGGAAATAATGTGGCATTTGTCTCTTTCTCCCTGTGGAAAGAATTGAGATAGAAGAGGAGGAAGGACAGCAGAGGAGGAGTCCGACCGTGCCAGGTTCATCCAGGTTTGCTCCGGAGAGCAGCAGGTACTCACTCATTCCTCAGGATGGGATGTCTGATTGCAGGGCTTTGCCAGCTCTGGGGATAACTGCTTTTATCAGCTGTCCAAACACAACCAGATGTGGAGAGTTTGCAGAGGAGACCTCCCAGGAAACACTGGAGATACAAACAGCTCCAGCTGGGATAAATGGGAAAAATCAGTTTCTAAATGCAAGCAGAAAGGCAGATGTGAGTGACAGCAGTGCCACAGAGCATAGGGACACTGCTCAGGAGGCAGCACAGGAGCGGTGGGCACAAAGCAGCATTTGTGCTCCCATGGGAGAAGCTCCTAAAAATCACCTGGACTAATGTTTTGTTGATTTGTTGATTTGTTCTCTTTTTTTTTTTCAGTGCTAATGGGCTAAGAAAAACCAGCCCTGGGTCTTCCTGGGATGAGCCAAAGGCAGCAGCAGCCTCTCCCTCCAGGTAGGAGTTCCAGCACAGCCAGAATGGGTGGGACAGTTTGGGCTGAAGGTCAGAGACCTCTGTGAGCACCACTCTGGGAAAGGGGAGGAACCAAATCCATCTTTCCATGGGAAGCCTTTTCTGGATGCAGACAGCTCTTAATAAAGATTTTATGGCTGAAACCCATGTCAGGATCTGGCAATATCCTGATAGAAGGGCTCAAAACCCAAAAGGAAAAAAACCAAATGTAGATCCTGACTGGTTTGGGTTGGAAGGACTTTAAAGCCCATCCAGTTCCACCCCTGTGGGCAGGGACACCTTCCACTGTCCCAGGTTGCTCCAGGCCCCATCCAGCTGAACCCTTTCTTGCCAAACAGGTATGAGGGAATAATTTTTATTTGTTTTCCAAGGTTTTTGACTGAATCCGTGCCTGTATAAAAAAGGTGGAATAGTTCTCACTGCAAACAGCACTTTGGCTTCTTGTCCTGGTGCTTTTACTAGTGTGCCACTGTAGAAAGTGGAAATTCCTGGCAAAATCAGTGCTTTTCATTTAAAATTGCTTCTGAGAAGATGACTTTGCCAGCGAATGGATTGAGAAGAGTGATGATTCATTCCCATTTTCTTCATTCCCATCAGGAACACTCCAGTGCAGGGTAGATTTGCTGCAGCTGGAGCTGGTTTGACCAGGAATTACAATTTTGTCCTTTGTCCTCTCTTGCAGCCCCAAACCAGGCAGCAGGAGCCAAACATCCCCATCCCTGAGTGACACTTCAGGGAAAATCTCCACTTCTGCTGAAATCAGGTGGGTCTGGAGGCCCTGGAGAAGCCTCAGGATCCCCTGAGGGCAGGATGGAGAATTCAGCTATGCCTGGGGGGATTCCCTGGAGACACAAAATCCTCCAAGACACAGAGCGGCACAGAACAGCAAACACCACACAGGGAATTCAAGGGAAGGGGCAGAAGAATCTGGGAGGAAACATTCCCAGATGGAAGCCAGGGCCTGCCACAGTTTGAACGTTGCCCAGCTCTGTGCTGAGAATCGAAATCCACACCTGCAGCCCTTTCTGTGCATCTCCTGTGGCTCCTCACCCCCTCCCTCAGCTCATGCTCCTGCTGTTTTCCCTGCAGGAATGGTGAGGACAAACAGGCCCTGCATGAGAAATTCTCCTTGGAAACGGTGTCCCAGGGTGGAGATGGGTAAGGAATGGGCAGGGGCTGCTCTGTGCTGCTGACCCTGGATTTGCTCGGGAGCAGCAGCTCCCTGCTCCTGGTGTCCCCCAGCCCGGGCTGGGCTGCTCTCCAAGAGCAGCATCTGCTGGCAAAGCTGCAGCCTGGCAGAGATCTCCTCCCTTCCCTCACTGCTCTGGGATTCTCCTCCCTGAACATTCCACTCCCTGAATTTCCCTTTATTTTGCTGCTCCCTTTGCCTCCTGCTGCCATTCCCTGGAGCTGTCCCACCTCTGAGGACTGTGCTGGCTCTTGCTGCCTGCTGGCTCCTGCTGGTCTTGGGCCATGGTTCCATGATCTGCAGTCAGACCCACTGGGCTCAGGAATGCAGCCCTGCCCATCCTCATGGAGAGATTTAACCCCATTTTGTCCCCAACCAAATATCAGCATATTTTTCTAGGATGATACACTACAGATGCTGACAAGTCCCATTTTCACTGGAATTTTCCTTTTTGTCCAGTGACAAAGCTCTGAAGGAAAAGCCTGAGAGGTTCCCGTGGGATGAAGGGGCCCCCAGAGCCATAAGGGCTTCTACAAATGGAAGGTAGAGTCACTGTGGGATTCCTGACTTGGGCACTGCACAATCCATAAACTGCAGTTCTGGAGCTGGCTGCAATATTGGAATGGATATTTACTGATGGAAAAACAGATTCCATATGGGCTTTGCAGAACTGCTCTCTGCTCTATGAAATGCAGGGGAAAGTCACTGTAGAACATTCCTCAAGTTGTGTCTCTCTTTTCCAGTGTTTCTGGGCACACAGAAGCCAAGAATGAGTTTTACCCACCAGAGTAAGTGGAAAATTCCCTTTTTCTCCTTCATTTTAGAGTGGGGGGCAGTTCTCCTGACCTGGGACTGCCCTGTGGATGAGCTCTGGGAGCAGCCCTTGCAGAGGAGGGTGGGCCTGACCCAGTAGCTCAAAAGGCCTGGGTTCTTCCAGCTGCTTTCCTCACACGAGGATGAGTGGGTTGGATCTGGGGCTCAGCCCTTCAGGAAATATCCATGGCTCAGCAGGAGTGGGGGAAAGATATTCCACTGGAGCCAGGAGAACCTCATGGTGGATATTTTTACTTCTTGGTGTTCTCCTCTTGCTGAACTTCCTGCTGGGACCAACCCCCTTCTCTCACAGGTCCAGCTCTGGTTCCTGGCACACACCTGGGGATGCTCCGGAGAAGCTGCTCCGTCCCTCCGAGCCCTCCCAGGGGGACACCAGGTGTGACCCTGCACAGGGCCTAGGGCTGGCACCCTCTGCTTCCAGAGGGAGCTAGGCTGGGAATAAGCAACTTGTCTGGAGTAGGGCTGGGATTAGAATCCAAACTGGGCAACAAAGCAACTGGAAAAGGAAAATCCTGTGTGGGTAAACAGTGGGAGCAGCATCTTTCTGTTCACTGTTACACAACTTCTTCCCAGAGAAACAGCCTGGGAATTCAGGAGGAATTTCTTCATGGAAAGGGTTGTCAGGCATTGGAAGGGGCTGCCCAGGGAGGTCTGGAGTCCCTATCCCTGGAGGTGTCCAGGGAAGGACTGGAGGTGGCACTCAGTACTCTGGGCTGGGGACAAGGTGGGGGTGGGGCACAGGTTGGACTCGATGATCCCGGAGGGGTTTGCCAGCCCCTGGGATTCTGGGAGCAGATCCAGCGGTTTTACCAGTGCCTTTAGTGCCTCCATCCCACAGGATTTTTGAGCCTTTGCTCCCTGACATTGCCAGGGGTACAAGGTCAGGGAGGAATTGCTGCTGTTGGCAGCACTGATCTCCCTGGAATTGCTTCCCTCCTTTGTCCATTATTCTGGGATTCGTTTCCCTGTATTGGCCCAACAAAGGCATTGAGGTGAGCAGGTTTCAGTGCCAGGTTGGATGGGACTTGGAGCACCCTGGGAGAGTGGAAGGTGTCCTTGCCCATGGCAGGAGGTGGCACTGGATGGGCTTTAAGGTCCTTCCAACCCAAACCTTTCCATGATTTCTGGATTCTATGAAATTAATTCATCCCCGTGAGCTGAGGTGGGGAGGATCCCACAGCCTGGACCTGCTGCTGTTGATGTAGGAATGTCTTCCCCAAAGTCACTCCTATTGTGCTTTGTCCAGGTGCTCCATCCTGGGGCAGGACAGCAAATTCCTGTACAGAGATGTGTGGGAATTTAATAACAGTAACTGTCTCAGTTCCACCACCAGCCTCTCCTCCTCTTGGATAGGATGGCAAATGGGTTTTTCTGAGGGAAAATCAGTTCTCTGAGGCAATTCTTTCCTGTTTCCTGGGCTACAAAGTGCTGTGTTGCTGTTCCATACAAATCCCCTGGAAAGTTTTGGAAGCTCTAAATTCCCTGTTTTTTTTGCCAGGTCACCCTTGCAGTCTGATGTCCCCTTTCATTCCACTGAGAGAGCCCCTGTGCACATCGAGGACACAGAATATTCCTTTAAAAGGTAAGAGTAGGGTGAGTTTAGTGGGTGTAGGAACAATCCTGAGGATAAAGGGAAACCTGAATGGGCAGTCACAGAAAGAGGCTCCTTCTCCTGCTTTTTTCTCAAGGATGGAAACAACTGAGGTTTAAATAAACCAAGAGCTTTGTGTTTATCCCCCTCCATCTCCTTTAAGTGCAGCACTCCAGATTTTTCCTCCTCCTGTGTCCTCAGTGGGGTTCAGTCACTCCCTTTCAATTCCCTGATAATCCAGGGATGCTGGAGCAGCAGCAAGGAGCTGGGAGCAGCTGGAACACAGGGACATGGGCTGTCCTAGAGAAAAGTCCAGTGCAGGCTGGCACAAGGCTGGCCTGGTGAGCAGAGCAGTGCCAGGATCCAGGTGCCAGATTTTAGGGATGTGATGGATGTTGCTGTGGTTTCCAGCTCTGTCCTGGGCTATGAGGAGAGGAGCAGCTCCACGAACCCTGAGGGCCCATCCCACCACCAGCCCTACTGGGATGAGACAAGGTGAGGACTGGGGGACTGGGGTGTCTGGGGGTGGTGACTCGGGATGTCTGGGGTTGGTGATCTGGCACATCTGGGGTTGGTGATCTGGCATGTCTGGGGTTGGAGATCTGGGATGTCTGGGGATGGTGATCTGGGATGTCTGGGGTTGGAGATCTGGGATGTCTGGGGTTGGAGATCTGGGATGTCTGGGGATGGAGATCTGGGATGTCTGGGGATGGTGACCCGGGATGTCTGAGGATGGTGACCCGGGATGTGTGGGGATGGTGACCCGGGATGTGTGGGGATGGAGATCTGGGATGTCTGGGGTTGGTGATCTGGCATGTCTGGGGTTGGTGATCCAGGATGTTTGGGGTTGGAGATCTGGGATGTCTGGGGATGGTGATCTGGGATGTCTGGGGTTGGAGATCTGGGATGTCTGGGGTTGGTGATCTGGGACATTTGGAATGGCTCTGGACAAACTGGCTCCTGCTCCTGGCCTGCTCCTCTCCAGGGAATGGGTTTCTGCCCATCCCAGTATGGATTTTCCCAATCCTGGATCTCTGGTTTAGATTTCTGGACTCAGCCAGCCTCACTGAGAGGGGCCAAGGAGCTCCTGGCCATGACAGCCCCCCAGAGCCCCCCAGGCTGAAGGATCCCACTGAGCCCAGCAGGGCTGGGTAAGGAATGGGATATTCCCCCTGCCTTCTGTGGGATGAGGGGTCATTCCTTGGGCATCTTCCCTCCTGCTGATAAATATTCTCCCAGGTTCTCCTTTCCATAGAATCATGGAATTGTTAAGGTTGGAAAAGACCTCTTGGATCAAGTCCAAGCATCAACCAGCACCATCACCACATTCAGCACTAACCCATGTCCTCAAGTGCCACACCCACGCATTTCCTGAACATTTCCATGAAGAAATGGAAAGGACAACCCTTTCCATGAAGAAATTTTTCTCAATATCTAACCTAAACCTCCTCTAGTGAAACTTGGGGCCTTCTTGTGCCTGATTCTAGTGCTGCTTCTAGTGGATGAACCTTTTACCATGGTTTTATGGGAAAACCTGGGAGAAAAGATCCTCCTTAGCTGGAGCCATCAAACCCTGTCCAGCTGGGCTGCCAGGAGTTGCTTCCTAGTCTTTAGATTTGGGAGCAAAGGGTGTCTAGGGAGAGACAATAAGCAATCAAATTTGGTATTGAGCTCCATAGTATTGCTGGGTCTGGTTTTGAACTTCCCCAATCAGGCTGGGTGTCCACATGGGAGGACTTTATGGACTCATTTCCTTTCTTTTGTCCATATTTTCCACTTAAACTGGAAGAATTGAGGCTCTTGGTTAAACTGGGCTCCCTCCCAGGTGTGTCAGTGAGAACACCTTGGAGTCAGAGGGTGAGCAGAGTGTTCTTCTCCCCAGGTCGGATCTTCGCTCCCAGGACACTGCTGGGAGCAGGGACAGGGACATGGGAATGTCATCCTGTGTTCAGAGTGAGGAAAGCACTGCAAGAAGGCAAGAGTGATAATGGGACTGCTTTTCCTGGTGGGAGGACGTGGGGAATTTGCTGCAGGGGGCTCTGGAGGAGGGACTAAAGGTGCTGTGGTTGGGGTCCTTCCTTTCAGCCCTGCTTCTTAAGAGGTCTGGATTTTCTATCTGTTTTTTTCCCATCACTTTGGGTTATTTGAGGACTTGGTTTAGTGCTGGGTGGTTGCATTTGATTATCTTAGAGGGCTTTTCCAACTTAAACAGTTCTGTGATTCCATGATTCTCTCTGGCACATTTCCATGCAGGTTTCTATCTGTTTTTTTCCCATCACTTTGGGTTATTTGGTCTAGTGCTGGGTGGCTGCATTTGATGATCTTAGAGGGCTTTTCCAACCTAAACAGTTCTGTGATTCCATGATTCTCTCTGGCACATTTCCATGCAGGGATATTGCACTTTTTTTTTTTTTTTTTTCTTGAGGCAGGAGATTCTCCAGAGGCTGCATCTCCATCCCACAGGAATTCTGTGCTCAGAGAGCTTCCACAAACCATACAGATCTCATGTCTTGGCAGGTCCAGCTCTGTTCCTGGAGGAAGCAGCATCCCAGCTCCAGAGATTCCACATGCAAACGAGTCTGAGCCACGCCGGGACAGGTACGGAGCCGGGGCACCAGGACATCCCTCACATACTTCCAGGTCTCCTTCCTGGCCTGTCCCAAGGCATCCAAATGCTCATTTCTTGGTCTAGAGAATTCAGGAACAAATACAGGCTCTGCTAGTGCTACCTTTCCCCCTGGAAGGAGCACAGCCCTGCAGAGATCTCCCACAGGAATTGTTGTATTTCAGGCTCTGGGTGGGCTTTAAGGTCCCTCCCAACCCAAACCACTCTGGGATTCTGGAATTCCCTGATCCTGTGATTCTGTTAACACCATGGTGCCCCATTTTTCCCTGTTCCCTGTAGGAAGTGGCAGGATCTACCCTCAGCAGACTCTAAACACTCATGAAAGCTGCTCAGAGCAAAGACACCCTTTGGCTTTATGGTCAAACTGGTTTTAATTCTTTAGCAGGTCTGACTTCAGCTCCCAGGAGAGTGTTCGCAGTGCCCACGAGCCCCAGCCCCCCATGCCTCTGTTCCAGGAACGCCAATCCTTGGGAGGCTCTGTGCCCAGCCACAGGATTCCAGGCTACGTGGACAGTCAGCTGTTCAGCATCAGCAGGTGAGGATTTGGGGATGGGGTTTGGGCATGAGGATTTGGAGGTGAAGGTTTTAGGATGCAGAGACAGGGAAAGCTGCTGGCATGGGATACTTTCAACTGTCCCAGGCTGCTCCAAGCCCCATCCAGCCTGGCCTTGGACACTTCCAAGAATGGGGCAGCCACAGCTTCTCCAGGCAATATGTTTGGAAATGCTTTGGCTTGGCTCAGGTGTTGGGTTTGGAGCCTGCTGCCCCTGTGGAGCACAGACCTGGCACAGGGGAAACAGGCAGAGCATGGGGGAGTGCATGATGGAACCATGGAATCATGGAGTCCTCATGGTTGGAAAAGGCCTCTGTGATCATCAGCTGTGTCACATGGTCACCACCAAGGCACAGCCTCAAGTTCCACATCCACACATTTTCTGGACGCTTTCAGGGACGGGGATTGCACACTGTGCCAGGGTTTGGCAGTGCCAGAACCAGGCAGTGACTGTGAGCCCAGCGTGGGGACTCCAGAGATTCCTGCTTTGTGTCCCCCCAGCAGGCCCAGCGCGGATCCCAAAGGGAGCGTTTATTCTGGGAGCAGCAGCCCCAGGAGCAGCTGGTATGACAGTGCCAGGGGGCACGGGGACTTCAACCCCCTTGCAGCACGGTGAGTCCAGGGCTGGGATCCCAGCTTCCCCAGGCAAGGAACTCCCCACTGCCACACTCACTCAGCGTCCCAATATCCTGGTCCGTCTGCTAACTCCCTGGGTGTGCATGTGTTGGGTGTGCCCTGGCTGTAGAATGGGAGGGGTCAGTGCCCAGCAGGGAGATTCCATCCGAGATTCCCTCCCTGTGTGAGGATCCCTCAGGTGGCCAAACTCAGAGCCTGAGACTGTTCCACTTCCTCTTCCCAGCCACGACTCCCTTCCCAGAGATCCCACCATGTCCATGTCCCAGAGAAGCCACAGGGTGCCGTTCTACATAGACAGCTTAAACTCTAACAGCTCCAGGTAAACGGGGAGTCACGAGGGCTCCGAGGGAAATTCCCCAGAAATTTATGACAGGAGCCAGCAGGCAAAGCCAAGAGCTGAGAGAGGGAGGATTGGTTTCCAGGGAGTGGATGCATGATCCAGAGGTACAGACCAGCTCTTGAACCATTCCTAGCTAAAGCTGCCTAGCAAAGGGTCTGGGATACATCCAGAAAATCCCTGGAGATTTTTCACTGTGTGGGAGGCCAGAAGAGAGGGACAGGAGAATGGGGAGCTGGTTCCTGGCCAGGAACTGGCCTTTGCTGTGGGAAAACAGAGATCACAGCAAAGAGAGACGGCTGCTGTCCCTAGAATGCCAATGGTTAAATGACAGAACTGCTCCCAGAACAAGGCTGTTGGAAGGGGCAGGAGGTATCCAGTATGGAATACCATTATCCTGGACACCCTGCAGTCCCTCCTGGCAGTGCCAGCCCATCCATGTGCTGTGTGATGGATGCAGCTACCAGTGCAAGGCTGAGGGATCTGTAACAAGGAGTGGTTGTGGGGGTGAAGGGGAGGCTCTGAGAGGATTGGCTCTAGGAAAGGTCAGCCTCATTCCAGGTCTCATTGCTGAGCTGATGGACAGAGCTGTTTTCCATAGTTTTGTTGCATTCTTCCTTCAGATTACTGAGTTGGGGACAGTTCCATTTGCCTTGGGAATGTTCCCATCTCCTGCAATTCCTCCTGTACCTTTTCTCTCCCTGGCTGCTCCCAGTCAGGCTCCCACTCACTCAGCCCATCCTCATTGGAAGATCTCATCGGATCTTCCGGCTCATGACCCTACAAGTGAGCCTTCCCCAAATCCCTTCTCCAGGACAGGATCTGTGTCCTGTGGCAGGTGTAGAAGGAGAAAGGGATTGGTTTGGTCCATGACAAGGTCTGGCAAAGGGCTGTGCTGTCCATCTGCCCTCCCAGCAGTGGCAGCTGATCTCCTGGCTGCCAGTTTGGATCCTGCCATGGCTCACAGACTTTTCCCTCTCTCCACAGGCTCCTCTCCAGTTCCAGTGAGAGGCTCTGCAGCTCCCACCACAGCTCTGGGTACCAGCCTGACTCCAGCACTGCCGGGTAAACAACCGAGGGGGGCGCAGTCCCCTCGCTGCAGGGTGGGGACATCCTGCTTGTGAGGAATCCCGGCTTTGGCACCTGGCTGGTGTCACCCACTGTGGCCAGCAGGGCCAGGGCAGTGATTGTCCCCCTGCTGGGCACTGCTGAGGTCCCACATGGAATCCAGGGGTCAGTTCTGGGCTCCTCAGGAAAGGCAGACCCTGAGGGGCTGGAGTGTGTCCAGGGAAGGGAACAGAGCTGGGGAAGGAGATTGGAGCCCCAGGAGCATCTGAGGGAGCTGGGAAGGGGCTCAGCCTGGAGAAAAGGAGGCTCAGGGGGGTCCTTCTGGCTCTGCACAACTCCTGACAGGAGGGGACAGCTGGGGGTGGGGGGGGCAGTCAGGCTGTGCTCCCAGGGAAGAGGGACAGGAGGAGAGGGAATGGCCTCAGGCTGGGCCAGGAGAAAGGGACAACTGGGGGTGGGGTCAGGCTGTGCTCCCAGGGAACAGGGACAGGAGGAGAGGGAAAGGCCCCAGGCTGGGCCAGGGGAAGTTGAGGTTGGTGGTGGAAGTGTCCAGAAAATGTGCGGATGTGACACTTGGGAACATGGTTTGGTGGTGACCAAGGTGGTGGCACTAATTGATGGCTGGATTTGATGATCTTAAAGGTCTTTTTCAACATTAATGATTGCATGATTCCATGACATAGAAAGAGCCTGTGCTCAGGTTTAAGGGAAAAAAAGGGGTTTCTTTCCTTAACCATGACAGGTCTTAGTGTAAGAAGGGAGGATTAATCCCAGCGTTTAGGCAGCAGTGGAAATGCACCATGGAAAAAGGCTGATTAATTCCTGTCAGGGCTGCAGGCTGGAGGGCACAGGGCTCCCCTCAGCCTGCACAGAGCTGCACCAGGGTGGGACATGGAATTCTGGAGCTGGGATTGGAAAAAGGCAGGAATATGCAAGGGAGGTAAAAATGTCCCCAGCCAAGCAGCAGCAGTTTACACATTGGCTGAAAACACTGGAGATATTCCAGAGGCAGAGCAGCCCCTGGAAGCAGCGCTGTGCCACAGGGCTCGGGATAACGGGAGAGCTGGGAGCTCTCCCCGTGCCCATTGTGTGCCTAATCCTGACGGGAGCTGGGAAAGACTTATCCCTGAAACCCATAACTGGATGAAAGGGTTACATTATCCATCCCATTCTTTCCAATTAACTCGATTTGTTTTGGTGGGTAATTAGAGGAGTTGGTATTTAGCAACAATGCTCGATAGGCAGGATTTATTCCAGAACAACGGCACCCGATCGCTCCGAGCCTCTCCCGCACGCGTTCCGTGTCGGGGGCACACGCACGGTCCCCGCCCGAGCCCCAGCCGCTCTTTTCTCATGCAAATGTTTCCCGTTTTCCCAGGAGAGGGATCCTCTTTGTCAAGGAGTACGTGAACACTGGCGGCTTTGCAGCCTCGCCACGCCACGGCAGGTAGGGAGCGCTGGGGACACCGGGTGTCACTGCCGGGTGTCACACCCGTGTGCCACACACGCGTGCAGAGCCCAGGACTGGGCTTTGCCGCCTCACACATCCCACCAGGAGGGAGCAGCTGGAGCTGATCAGCCCGGAGGGGGGGTAACTGGGAGGGCGGGTTCTACTCTGTGGGGTCCTGCCCTCTCCTCCTGCCGTGGGGGTGACAGCAGGACCCGTGTCCCACTGCTCCCAGGGGACAGGCCAGCTCCTCCTGGAGTGGCTTGGTGTCTGAGGTGGGGGAAAACACCACACTGCAGGCTTGGCACTGTGAGGTTTCACTGTGCACCTGTAAACAATGACTGGAATGCATGAGGAGAGTGTGGAGGGTGAGGGCTCTCACTGGAAAAACTTCATTATATGAGTTTAAAAAGGTTAAATTGTACCATTTTCAAGCTTAATTCTTCAGTCCTTTGAGTTCTGCTCAAGTGAAGCTGCCCCAGACTGGCCCCAGTGTGACAAGAGCAGGATTTGGCCCCATGCACATCATCCTCACAGTGATGTGGCACCAGTTCACACCAGTTTGAGGCTCCCTGTAGGAATTATCCTCCCTCAGCACTCTGCTGTCATCCCTGGGGGAGCTGATTACATTCCCTCCATCTCCAGCCTGCCCCAGAGCTCAGCAAAGCTGCTGTCAGCAGCCACAGATAAGCCAAATATCCAGAAAACTCAAGCAGAGAGGGAACACTCGGCTGGATGAGGGGTGAAACCAGGGATGTGCTCTGTGCCTTTTCCTGCAAACAGTGCAGGATTTGGAGTTGTAGCAGTGAAAAGCTGCTATTTGTAGGGGCCGGATGCAAACATGAGGGTCCTTGTGAGACCAGAAGAATTTTGCCTGGAGAGTCCTCTCTGGGGGTACTTAAAGGTTCCTCTTTGTGCCCTGGGAAGGCACCTGGAAGACCTTCTCCCCAAGGAACAAGTAGCCAGGATATTCCAAATCATTAGATTACGATTCTATCCAAAATTCTCTTCCCACATATCACTGCCAAGTGCTGATTTTTGCCTCTTTCCTTCCACAGTGGCAGCCTTGTGGATTTGAGTGACCTGGAGAGAAGCAGCTACAGCCACCACAGTTACCTGTCCAGTGCTCCCCTGCACAGGTAGGACAGGGCAGGGCTGCCTTGGGCAGGTTCATCAAATTCTCAGTCAGAAATGATTGCAAGGGTTTGCTTTTTGAGGACGCTGGGGTGTGTTTGTGGAACAGCAGCACAGTAAATGGAAATACAGTGACATGGACTCCAAGTCAGTCCAGAGCAGGCCACCAATGTGGTCAGAGGGATGGAGCACCTCTCCTGTGAGGAAAGGCTGAGAGAATTGGGGTTGTTCAGTCTGGAACTGAGAAGCCTTATGGCAACCTAACTGTGGCCTTCCACAGCCTGAAGAGAGCCCACAAGAAAAATGGAAAGGGATTATTTCCAAGGCCCTGGAGTGACAGGACAAAAGGGAATGCCTTCTCACTGACTGAGGAAGGGTTAGATGGGATATTGGAAAGAAATTCTCCTCTGGGAGGGTAGGCAGGCCGTGGCACAGGGTGCCCAGAGCAGCTGTGGCTGGAAGTGTCCATGGCCAGGTTGGACACTGGGGCTTGGAGCCCCCTGGGATGGTGGAAGGTGCCCCTGCCCATGGCAGGGGGTGGAACTGGATGGGCTTTAAGGTTCCTTCCCACCCAAACCATTCCATGATTCCACAGCTGTAGTATTCTGAGATCTGTCCTGCCCCACTGCTGTGGGGCACCCCTGGGACAGCACAGTCCCCTCTTCTGTCACTCACACAGTTACACCTGTGGGAGCAGGCTGCTGATGGACAGCAGTGCTGATGGCTGGGATAAACCCTTGGCACCAGTGCTGGGACTGGAACCATAGCATCACAGAGGCATCCACTGCCCTGCTCTTCCCAGGTCCAGCGAGCCCCTGTGCAGCTACTGCAGCCGGGAGATCCGAGACTGCCCCAAGATCATCATAGAGCACCTGAACATCCACTGCCACGAGTACTGCTTCAGGGTAAGCCCGAGTGCCTGTCTGCTGGGAATGGCAGGGCTGGGAGCAGGGATCTTCCTGCAAATTCCATCCCCAGGCTTTCAGAGGGTGTGCCAAATCCTTGCATACATGGGGTGTGCCAAATCCTTACCTCACACTGGGACAAAAACAGTCAGGCAGTCACAGGTGTCCCCAGAAGGTTTTCAGGTCCTTGAACAAATGTTAGAACAAGGAGAATTCTTTATTATTGGCAGCATCCTCAGAACACCCTCATGTCCTTGCCCCACTGTCCTTGGGGAAGACTTGCTGCTTTGTGCTCTTTGTGCTCTAGTGGAGGTGGCTGAATCCTCAAACCCTGCAGGGCTTGCAAGGAAGTTGTGTGGGGATGTGAGGAAGGTGGGAGGAGGAGGGATGGGGAGTGTGGGAGGAAGAGGCCTGCAGGGACGTTTGGCTGTTGTAGGAAAGTGCAGCCTCAAAGGTTGCATCCTCACCTTTTAATAATATGATGCAGAGACCTCTGCCCCCTCCCTTGTGCTGTTCCTGCGTGGGGTTTTGCCCATTGTCCAACCTCCTTGTTTTCCCTTTGGCAGTGTGGAATTTGCCACAAAGCAATGGGAGATCTCCTGGATAAAATATTCATCCACCGGGACATTGTCCACTGTGACAAGTGCTACGAGAAGCTCTTCTAGGTGGGTTTCCAGGTCCCCTTTCTGAAAGCATTCCCAGGGGGATGGCTGGGTGAGAGCTCAGGGTTCACTGGTGAAGGGCATTTACCTCTCACATTTCCAGGGTGGCCAGGCAGGGATCTTGCTGGGGTATTCAGTGGGAAGCAGTGGCCTTGCTGCAGCATTGGCTGGAAACTCACTTGTGTGCTGTCCCGGGGGTGCTGGTTGGAGCCAGAATCTCAGTGACAAACAGGCTGTGGTGGCTTCCCGGGGGTGACAGGCAGAGGCTGGCTTGAGTGATGACAGAAATGTCCCTCAGAGGTGGAGAGTCCCCACGGAAGGCAGTTAAAGGTCCCTCAATGTGTCCTGAGCTGACCCCCTGTGTGCAGGGACTGCGGGTGGTTTGGAGCTGTGACACTCCCCTGACAGGGACACAGCTCCTGGGCGGCAGGTGCAGCTCGTGCAGGATCTTTACTCCTTTAGTAAAGATCCTCTGAGCTGAAAACCTTCGGGTAGGGTTGTACATTCCAACAGATCGACAGGAGCGGGTTGGGCACGGTTTGATTTTGTCAGATTATCTGGAAGGAGCAGGAGGTGCCATGGCAGCGACCAGAGCTGCTGTTCTGGGGCTGGGAGACCTCGTGTGCTCCCGGTGCCTCCCGGCACAGAGCAGGAGGAGGAGCAGGGAAGGGGGCTCCTGCCTCGCTGCTCCCCGTACCTGGTAATGGGATGTGACTGGTGAGGTGCCCATCCCCGCACGCTCCCGGCTCCGCCGACATCCAAGGTCGCATTCCCGGCGGGATCTGCCCGTGCTCAGCCGCTCTTTGTGTGCTTGCAGGGCCCTGCGGAGCTGGGAATGCAGCCCGTGCCCGGCGGCACGCCTGGGAATACCGCAGCTCCTGACTGGCCGAGATCGCAGAACTCCCGCTCCTGCTTCCCCCAAGTTCTTTTTCCTCTCGCTGCCCCGTGGCCGTGGATGAGTTCAGCACCTGCTGGTTGATGCTGTCACCTGCTCCAGGCAAGAGTGATGGCAACGAGATAAGGCAGCCTCCTCCTCGAAGATAACATTTTCCAGAGGTGCTGAGCCCCCCAGCCTGGCTTTAGCTGCATGAAGATTCCGAGTGCTCCCGGAGCTGGGAGTCAGGCACAGCTCCTCAGGTTTATCCCAGCTAATGGCCACGAGTCTCTCCTGATAATATTTGTATTTCTTTCCCTTGTGCAGCCAGGCTCTGCGAGCTGGCACACAGACACTGGGAGCCTTAAACACTAAATTTGGATTCTTGGGAGGGTTTGAATTTAGTCCTTAGTGAAAGCCTATTTCTGTGTCTTTCAACCCCAAATTCAGCTAGAAATAGCTTCTGCCTGATTTCCATTTGCTTTCTCCAGGATTCCAGGAGCACTTGCAAACTCTATTCTAATTGTGTGTCAGCTTTAATTCCCCTTCTTGCCTCTTCCCCGAGGATGCTGCAGCAGCACCTGTGGCTGCTGCCTGCTTGGGGAGATAACAGTGTCCTTCCCCTGGGGTTTAACTCCAGCTCTGAGGGCAGCTGTCCTGTGCCAGAGCAGGGGCATCTCGATTCCCTCTCCTGACAAAGAGCTCTGCTCAGCTGAAATCCCACTTTCCCCCTCAGCAGGGCTTTGCCCAGACCTCTCATTGCTGTAGGTTGTTCACAGCCCAAATGCTCACTAACAGCGTTGAACTTCCAGCAGATGCTGCACTCAGTAAAATCAGAACTGTGTCATTTTAACCCTTATCTCAGAGCTGAGGGGTTGGGAATGCTGAATACTGAAACCTTTCAAAAGTCAGGTGTCCAGACTAACTGTTTCCTCATGGGAAGCATTAGGAATCATAGAACTATAGAATCCCAGAATGCTTTGGTCTGGAAGAAGTTCATCTATTTTAAAGTTCATGGGCAGGGACACCTTCCATGAGCCCAGACTGCTCCAAGCCCTGTCCAGCCTGGCCTTGGACACTTCCAGGGATCCAGCTGCTCTGGGCAACCAGGGCTTCCCCATCCTCACAGCCAAGAATTGCTGAAAACCAAGCTTCTCCTAAAATCCTGTAATTACCTGGGGAAAAAGGAACGCTGATCCCCCATGTGAATTTTTGTTTGTTTGAGAGCAGCTGAGGGAGCTGGGAAAGGGGCTCAGCCTGAAGGAGGCTGAGAAGGAACCTTCTGGCTCTGCACAGCTCCCTGACAGGAGGGGTTTTTCCCCCTTAAAGACATGTATCACCCAAAAGGAACCTGCAGCTATTATAAAAATGTTATGCTTTATGATTTGTATTGGTCTGAGCTTTGAAGAATTGCTGACCCCACGAATAAAAAACAAATGAATTATTCAAAGAGGTGAATCTTCCTGGTATTTGTGGAGAAGGGTCACCTGCACACAGATTTTTTCCTACATGATGGATGGGGTAATGCATTTTCTTTAACAAAAAGATCTTATTTCTCTTGGGATTCTGCTGCTTGTGGGGACCAATCTTGACCAGATTATTTCACATGAAATCAAATAAATAAAGGGTATGAAATGTGCTGGTGGTGACTGAGCAGAGGTGGAGGCAAACCCATCCTGGTACTGCAGCTCCCATGGTGGCACAGGGACCTCTGCTTTTGGAAATCCCATCTTCTGCACAGACCAAACCTCTCCAGAGCATCTGAAAATTAACAGCAGAGTGACAAAATTAACACTAGCCCAGCTGACACCAGGACAGACCTTGAGCAGTGTCAGTGCCGGATGCGGTGTTCAGGCTGACCGGTACAAAAACGAGATTCTGCTCATAGCATGTGGCCTTGGTGACTGCCAAACATCACACGCTTCTTATCAGGAGGTGCCAGAGGCTGTGTGTGGGTCCAACAGGCACATTTGGGAAGAAGATGTCAAAGAATGGTGCTAGTTTTATTGTTGCTTGATAAAGCTGTCCTGAAGAGACGTTACAAGCACCAAAGCTTTGGGAGATGCCAGCTAAGCTGTGTTTTGTGCATTTTTCTGGATCACATGCACAGGGAGAGACCCTTTCCCTTTCACTCATCCCTTCCCTACTCAGCCCTTTCCCCCTCATTTGCTCCTCTTCCTCTCTCCCTTTCCCTCTTCCCTCACTTCCTTGCCTTTCTCCCTCCTTCCCTTTCCTCCCCCTCACTCTCATAGCCACTCATTCACCCTTTCCCCCTCACTTACCCCCTTTCTGCCATCACTTATCCCCTTCCCTCTCACTTCCTTTTCCCCCTTTTAAACCTTTTCCTCTCATTGATATGCACTCCCCCATTCACCCCTCTTCCTCCTCACTCACCTCCTTCCCACCATCACTCCTTCATTTTTCCCTCATTCATCCTTTTCCTCCTCTCACCCCTTTCCCCCTCACAAACCCGCTTTCTTCCCTAACCTGCTCCATTTCCCTATAATTCCCTCATTCCTCTCTCACCCATTCCATTTCCCTCTTAACTCCCCTCTTTCCCCCTCACTTGCCCCTTTCCCTTACTTGCCCCTTTCCACCATCACTTACCCTTCCTCCCTTTTAAACCTTTTCCCGCCACTCCCACTTTCCCCCTCATGAATCCCCATTTCCCTCATCCATCCCTTTTCCTCCCCTCATGAATCCCCACTTCCCTCATCCATCCCTTTTCCTCCTCACTCTCGTCCACATCCCCCTCACTCCACTCACCTCCTTCCCATCATCACTCCCCGCTTCCCCCCTCACCCATCCCCTTTTTCCCCTTCTCACCGCCATTCCACCTCACTTCCCTTCACCCCCTTGCCCTCGCCCGCCCTTCTCCCCTCACTCCCGTGCCCCTCACCCGGGGCTGCCGGCGCTCCCTCCCCGGGCGGCCCCGCGCAGGCGCAGCGCCCCCATCCCCCGTTCCCCACACAGGGGTGGGGGCGGCGCCTCCCGCCGTTCGCGGGCCGGGCTGAGCCGCCGGAGAAAGGCGGCACCGGCACCGACCGGGCGGGCGCCCGCCCTCCGACCGACCGCCATCCGCCTGTCCGGCCGTCTGTCCATCCATCCATCCAGGTACCGTCCGAGGGGGAGGGGTGCCCGCCGCGTTCGGCTCTGCCTCGCTCGGTGCGGACCGGCCGCGCCCGTGCCCCCCGCGGGGGTCGCGTCCGCCGGTGCCGCACAGCGCGCGCCACCATCACGGCCATCGGAGCCCTCCGCAGACCCTCAGCCCGTCCCTTGCCTCACCCCCCCGGCTCTCGGAGCTGCACGGAGCTGCCACAGCCCCCCGGCCATCACAACCCCCCGGCCTCTCAGAGCCCTCTCGCAGTGCTCATGGCCATCACAGCCCTCACCAGAGCTTCCCCTCTAGCTCTTACAGCCCCACGCCCATCACTGCCCCCCAGAACTCCCCCACGCAGTCTTATGGCCATCCGAGCCCCCTCATAGCCTCCCCCTGGTTCTCAGAGCCTCCCCAGAGCCTGCACCCCCATAAGCCCCATGGCCATCATTGCCCCTAAGACGGCCCCGACCCCATGGCAGCTCCCCCAGCCCCTCCAGAGTCCCTTTGCTCACGCTTCCCAGCCCCTGCAGCCTCCGAGCCCTCGGAGCCCCGCTGGCCCCGGCAGCCCCGGGGCTGAGGGACCGTTACCCTCGGTGAGACACCCGGATGTCTGCTCGGCGAACTCCGAATTATTGTCTCCGACCCGCTCACGGCTGCCGCCTTTTTGCCTTCTTCTAAACGTGTTTTATTTCTTCCCCCCGATGCACAACGAAATTAACTTTCACAGGTTTGTATCTCTTCCCCCGCGTGTCTTTGCTGGGGGGTTTTTTGGGGTGGTTTTTAGACTTAGTGGCTGTGGGGAAAGACTGAACGCTTTTCAGCTGCTCTTCCCCCTCAACGTGTGTTTTCCTCACGTGAGTTTTTTTTGCAGCTCCTCACCCTTGAAAGGGAACCGATTTTTTGGGTGACCCATCTCCTTAATTCGCCTCCTTGAGCCACTGTTTTGCTTGGACAGTGGAACTCCTATGGCGCTCCACTGGTGCATCCTCAGAGTTGCTGAGCTTTGGGATATCTCTGGGAATCACACTG